GAGCTCCCCCAAACCCCTCCAAATACCTGTAAAAGATGACTCTAAACAAATTCTAGAGCAGCAGTACCCACAAAAAGACAGAGTGAAACAAATTTCCAGCCCAAGACAACCTGGAAGGTCAACAGGAAAGGTCTGTTGCACCAGGCTGAGAAAGGAGCACAGTCCAGTGTAAAACACACCAGCACAGATCGGCAAACCCAGAACAGGCCTCAGGGGACTGACTCACTGGCAGCTGGGGAGGTTTACAGACTCCTCAACCCACAAACACCAAAGACAACTTAGAAGGTCAGTAGGAAAGGTCTGTTGGACCTGCATGAGAGAGAAGCATGGTCAGGCCCCAGCAGCCCCAAGGAGGCAGCAGGGGCTGCTTGCAGAGCTCTCAGCTCATAGATGGTGAGAGGATCAAGTGGCTGACTGGAGGGGGATTGCAGGGATTCTTTTGCTTTGCCCATACTTGGATCTGGGTTGCAGTGGTAGAGCTTGTGGCGGCAGTGAAGGGAAATCCTGCTCACGGTTCCAAGGCAGAAAAGAGTGTTTGTGGTCACTCACAGACCAGAGCACAGGCCAAGAGAGGAGTAAACACTTCGCCTTCGATAATACCATCCAGGAAGAACTGAAAATTTACACGTAATTTCCAAAATTAAAACAATCAGATCCTTTTCTTAAAAAACAATTGGGGGGGGGCGGAGCCAAGATGGTGGAGTAAAACAGTGACTTGCTTAAGTTCTCCCCCAACCCCCTCCAAATACCTGAAAAAATGGCTTTAAACAAATTCTAAAGCCGCAGAACCCATAAAAAGACAGAGCGAAATAAATTTCCAGCCTAAGACAACCTGGATGGTTGATCAGAAAGGTTTATTGCGCCAGGCTGGGAAAGGAACACAGTTTGGTGTGGGCACTCAGTCAAGGTAGGCCTCAGCAAACCTGGAGCAGGCCTCAGAGTACTGAATCATGGGCAGCTATGGTAGTTTCCAGACTTCTCAACACATGAATGCCAAAGACAACTTAGAAGGTCAGTAGGAAAAGTCTATGTCTGTGGTGAGAGAAAAGCATGGGATTCCAGCCCCAGTCCCCTAGCGAGACCCTGAGGAGGCAGCTGCTTCCAGAGCTTCTGGCCCACACTCTGAGGGGGAATCAAGTGGCTGATCAGAGGGGGATTGCAGGGATCTCTTTGCTGGTGCTGAGGCAGGATTCTCTTGCATTGCCTGTTCTTGGATCTGGGTCACAGTTCTGGGCGGCGGTGCTGGGGAGAGAAGGAGCACTGGCATGGTGGAGCTTGTAGTGGCAGTGAGAGGAAATCCTCCTCACAGTTCCAAGAGAGAAAAGAGTATTTGTGGTCGCTCATAGATCAAAGCACAGGCCAGGAAAGGAGTAAACACCTTGCCCTTGATCATACCACCTTGGGAGAACTGAAAATTTACAGGTCCCTAGAAGTACCTCTGAAAACAGCTGCACAAAACCCCTGAAGCTTGGGACAGTACACCCTCCACACTGGAAGCAGAGTCCTACCTTAACAAAGAGTTAAAAAAATCAAAGAATTGGCTGGGAACATGAGCAAACAGTGGAAAAAAACTCAAGGCTATAGAAATTTACTTTGGTGACAAGGAAGATCAAAACATACAACCAGAAGAAGACAACAAAGTCAAAGCTCCTATATCCAAAGCCTCCAAGAAAAATATGAATTGGTCTCAGGCCATGGAAGAGCTTAAAAAGGATTTTGAAAATCAAGTAAGAAAAGCAGAGGAAAAACTGGGAAGAGAAAGGGGAGAGTGATACAAGAAAAATTATGAAAAACAAGTCAACACCTTGCTACAGGAAACCCCAAAAAACTACTGAAAAAAATAGCAACTTAAAAAATAGACTAACCCAAATGGCAAAAGAGGTCCAAAAAGCCAATGAGGAGAAGAACACATTAAAAAGCAGAATTGGCCAAATGGAAAAGGAGGTCCAAAAGCTCACTGAAGAAAATAATTCCTTAAAAATTAGAATGGAGCAAATGGAGGCTAATGACTTTATGAGAAATCAAGAAATTATAAAACAAAACCAAGAGAATGAAAAAATAAAAGACAATGTGAAATATCTCATTGGAAAAACAACTGACCTAGAAAACACATGCAGGAAAGAACCTAGACGTCATCTTTCAAGAAATTATCAAAGAAAACTGCCCTCATATTCTTGAATAAGAGGGTAAAACAGAAATTGAAAGAATCCACTGATCACTTCCTGAAAGAGATCCCAAAAGAAACTCCAAGGAATATTATAGCCAAATTCCAGAGTTCCCAGGTCAAGGAGAAAATATTGCAAACAGCCAGAAAGAAACAATTCAAGTATTGCGGAAACACAATCAGGATAACACAAGACTTAGCAGCTTCTACATTAAGGGATCAAAGGACTTAGAATATGATATTCCAGAGGTCAAAGGAGCTAGGATTAAAACCAAGAATCACCTACCCAGCAAAACTGAGTGTAATCAATGAGGGAGAAAAATTGACATTCAATGACATAAAGGAATTTAATGCATTCTCGAGAAGCCACAGCTAAGTAAAAAAATTGACTTTCAAATACAATACTCAGGAGAAGCATGAAAAGGTAAACAGGAAAGATAACTCATAAGAGATTTATTAAAGTTGAACTGTTTATATTCCTACATGGAAAGAGATTTGTAACTCATGAAACCTTTCTTGGTATTAGAGTTGAGTAAAGAAATATACTTCATTCAACAAGGAAACATGAAGGAAAGGAGAGGAGGGGGGATAAGAGGAAGTACTGTCTAAGGGAGAGAGTCATTCTAGGCAAAACAAACTCTAACTCTTAAAGATAGATTGGCAAAGAAAAAGGAAAGAAAGAAAAATTAAGAAGCTGTCACTGGGCTCTGGTCAAGGGAAAGAAGAGAAGGGCAGGGGAGCAGAAGAAGATCATATCACACTTACAGTAATAGTGCTCAGCATATTCCTCTCTTTTTATTTTTATTTTATTACATTTTCCTCTCATATTTCAGAAAACTGATCAACACAATGACCAGCTATGATTCCAGAGAACTCATGATGAAACAAACATACTATCTACCTTCATAGGGAAAGTTGATACACAAAGGGTAAAAAACTCAGTTGTATATTTTTTGGAAATGTCCATTGTGGGAATTTACTTTGTTTTACTATGCATATTTGTTAGAAGGCCTTTGTATTTATTTCTTTTTCAAATGGGAAGGGGGAATTTTGGTCAACTGAAAAAAATAGAGGTGTATGTTAAATATAACTAAAATTAAAAAGGAAAGAGTTAACTGAAAAAAAATCTTTGCATTAAGTTTCTCTGATAAAGGTCCTATTTCCAAGATATATAAGGAACTGATTCAAATGTACAAGAATAAGAGCCATCTAACCAATTGGTAAATGGGTCAAAGGATATGGAGAGGTAGTTTTCAGAGAAATCCAAGCTATTGGTAACCATGTAAAAAATGCTCCAAATCACTAATAATTAGAGAAATGAAAATTAAAGGAATTCTGAAGTTCTACCTCACACCTATCAGATTGGCAAACTTGACCAAAAAAGGGAAATGACATGTATTTGGTGGTTGTTATTTTTTGTTAAATGTTCTAACTTCAATTTATAGATGAACAATGAGGCATAGAAACATGAAGTGACTTGTCCTAAGTCACACAGGCAGTAAATAACCAGGAATTTGAACTCAGGTCCTTTCACTCTAAATCCAGTGTTCTTTCCATTATAATATGCTACCTTACATTTGAATCTCCAAAGTCTGTTCCAGCTCTCAAATTCTATGATTCATCTAAGTTTTAATTATTGTTTTTGTACTTGGAGCAAGATAAGTATTATTTTGATCATAAGAGAGAGATCTGTTAACTAAGTTATTCCAATAAAGATAAAGAAGAGAAGGGAAAAAACAAGATACTTTTGAATTTGGAAATTAAGGATTTTTAGAGAGTTCACTTTGTACAGATAACATAAAGATATCAGATTTATCTCTTCAAAAAACCCCAGAAATTTAGCTGTAATTAATTTCTCACATAACTTCTGCATTGAAAGAGTAATAGGTGATTTAGTCCAATCTGTTAACTATACAGGAGTCACCAACCTAATACAAGATGCCCAAAGAGTAAACAGCTTTCACTTGAAGACTTCTAGACCCCTAGAGTATATATTCATTACCTCCTGAAGCCATTCATTCTACCTTTGAATAGCTCTAATTGTTAGGAACTTTTTCTTTGCATCAAAAAAAGCTGCTTCTTTTCAACTTCTCCCCATTCCTCCTGCTTCTGCCCATTTGGATCAAGTAGAAAGAAAGAGTCCTATAATCCTTCTTCCATCTGATAGCCCTTCAACTATTTGAAAACAGCTATCATGTCCTCCTGAAATTTTCTCTTCTACAGGATAAATATTCCCAGTTCTTTGAACTGATTGTCCATAGTCTCTGCAATTACCTGGTTGCCCTGTTCTGCACCTGCCAGCTTGTCAATGTCTTTCCTAAAATGTAATTCCTAGAAGCACAGGAACATTACCTGCCTTTTTCTGAAAACTATGCCTCTTTAAATGCAGTGTACAATTGAATTAGCTTTGTTATATTTACATCTGAAGGCCTTGGTTCTAATGCTGACTGTAACTTGTGACTCAATTATTTAATCTCATTTTTTTCTGTTTCCTCATTCATTAAATGGTAATAATACCAACCTAATGCTTATGTGAGAATCAAATTAGATTTACAGTTGAGTATTTTTTAAAAAATTTTAAATGTTACATAAATGTAAGGTATTTATTCATGCTGCTACTTATATAGAGCATTAAAATTCTAACCTGCAATTCAACCAATATTAGCAAAATTCTACTACAAGAACTACCTTATATACCAACACACAGGTATTGAGAAAGATTATCTTGAGTGTTTTATAAAGAAAAATAAAATTAAAATACATTAAAATAAACCTTCATCACTTCTAAAATATGAGGACACTAAACTCCAAATAGAAATTAATGTTTGACACATACTTTTACATCCCATATTTGTAAAAAGATCCTTCAGTTCAGATTCCTTAGTTTGTGATTTTATTCCACATACATATATTTTTGAGGTGCTCTGATTTGTCAGTGTTGACATATGAGCAACAGTGTACCAGGAACCCATGTTAACCAGTAAGATGTCATCATCCATATTCAGCAAGGTCTTTACAGAATGGACAGCAAGACTTCGAGATTTATCCTACATGGGAACAAATAGTGTGATTAGAAATCACAAAAGATAAGATTCAGAAGATCTACTTTACTTGTTCTACATTAATGGAAATATTCTTAACTTTTTAAAGTTTCTTAATTTTTATTTAGCCAAAGGAATCTGAATAGTGAATAAATTTATTTGATATCTAAACTTAACCTAAAATAGGTACATTGTGCTTTGTCTTTCACATAGTAAAATAAGACAAAATAGGCAGCACCTGACTTGATATGTTACAAAAACACCCATTTGTAAGCATTACTGTAGGAACTGTCCAGTCACAAGAGGCCACTGTCAACCTCTATCGTCATCTTTGCTGCCATAGCTCAGCGATGTTCAAACTTCAAGGAACACAGAGCAAGGATTTGGGGTTCAGAAATCAGGAGTCCTAGAGATGCTATTACTATAGTTCAGCTACAACTATAGGCCAAATAGGCTTTTCCTTGCTAGCCTGAGAATTTAACAAGTGGCTGGCACAGTGCCTGGCACACAATAAATGCTTAATAAATACTTGACTAACTGATTATCTATCATTTATAACATTATTTCCACAGGAAAAACATATTCTAAGTTTCAAAATATCAACTTACAAATGAACTTTTGGAATACAAACCATTTATAAGTTGGGGTTTCCTTTGGCTATAATAGGGATAGGGATAAGGTCTAGACCTGTAATTTCATTATTATAAGCAATTCTACTTATATAGAGGTAAAGAAAGGTAAAGAAAACAATGCAGGTCAGCATCTTCTCTGCAACTTATATTATAGAGTAGCCTAGAGAGGTGAGAGGTTAAATTACTTTCCCAGGTCCCAAAGCTTTGTGTCAAAGAGCTCAAACAAGGTCTTCTTCACTCCAATGCCAGCTTTCTAGCTACTCTGCCATGTTGCCCTATTTAATTTCTACTTAATCTTCTGATAATGAAATATTAATCCAAATTTTAAAGTTGAGAAAAAAAAATGGGAGTTTTATTTACTACAGAATTCATCTTGGATATTCAAAGATCACTCAGTAAAGATTTCTCAAGGTAAGCTTTTTAACTCAAATGAGATTAACCCATTCCCAGATACCAGTAGCACAAGAATAAATTGTGGGGGTAAGGAAAGAGAAGTCATTTCTATGCTGCTTCAAAAGGGATTAAGGTCTGATAAATTTTGAGGGTACCAGGTTAAATTAGATTGAAGTTGAAATTAGAGAAAGCTGTAAATCCTCCTGATGATCTATAAGAAGTATGAATAGAAAGTCCACATTCCACATTTAATATTTTGATGGGATGTGATGTTGAGGCTTACAAGCCCCTTGAGGAGTTTGTCTAAGGAAAAAGAATTAAGACTACTCAATTTTTTTTAGTAAAGACAATCTTTAAAAGCAAATTTCAGCTTACCTGAAACAAAAGTTTATAATCTGTACAAAGCTCTATATTAAGAAGTTCACTTTTAAGATGAGATGGAAAAATTAAGACATCACTGCAATGCTGGTCCATACAAAAAGATTTGCACTCCAAGTCAAATGCAGATCTGACTTTGGTGTATCCTTCTTTCTTCAAATCATCGCAAACAACTTCAGGGCTGTTGATACAACATTCAATTATTTGTTTTGACTATAATTACGATATAGGAGATTAAATATAAATTCTAACACATTACTGTTCTATTAACATGGAAAAGAATCAATATCACCCAAGCAAACTAATGTGAAGTTTATATCTAGTGCAACTTTGCAGGGTTAGCCTACAGAAGCATGCTTTAGGGCATAAAAGGATTGATATAATTTTCTTTTTTAATTTAGAATTAAGATCTCAAATTAAACCAAGAATCAAGATTTAAAATACAAATTAAGAATTACATTTTTATACAAATATTCTTCTTCAGAAAAAGATGATCTCAAATTTATACTTAATTTATTTTTTAGGTTTTACCATAAGGAAAGTAGATGGGGTGTAGGGACTGGCTGGACCTTTGATTTCACTGGTATAGGTAACTTGGGAAAACTCCTACCAACACAGGTTAACATTTTCTATGAAACTTAGTGTTATATAGTTGCCTAAAGAAAGGAGAGGTTAAGTGACTTGCACATAAGGAAAGTATATATTTGAAATCTCACCTGATTTTGCAAGTATTTACCCAAGCATAAAGTGGCAAAGTAGAAGCTCTTTGTTCCTGTCTTCTAACAGTTTCTGGTAGAATGTGGTAAATTGAAAGAGCATCATGCTTAATTCGACATCTTGCCAGTGCTGCAGCCAATTTTGTTTTAAAACTAAAAATATAAAATCCACTTTTTACTGAAAAGTGCACTTAAGATACAGGGGTACCAATATCCCGCTAGAAATGTTAATAAGTTCCACTCCAAATTTTAGTAATTTCCTCTTCAAAGCCACCTCATGTTTTAAAAAAATTTAATAAAATTTGCCAGATTTTGAAATGGAAATCTAGTAATCCTACTTACTTTTCTGTTTTCCCCTCTAATATCTATCTCTTTGTCTTATGTCTTTCTGCATCTCGCTAGGTCTCTATTTCAGTGTTAATTGCTAGAATGGACTTCAACATTATAGTCTTAAGGCTTAATACCTTTCATGAACCTGCTTTTGGCCCTCCCCTCTCCTAATATTCCATATCTAACAATACCTGCAAACACAGAAAAAAATTTAAAAAGTATCCAGAAAACTCCATGATTTTTACTGATATCTCAAACCCCAAAAGAAATATCATCTTATAAAAGCCCAAATTATGATGACACAACCCAAGCTATTTATTCCTAAAGTAATGGAGGACTGCTTGGGGTAAAACACACAGTATACAGTATATTTTACATAGCACCCCTGTGATATTTTTATATAGTTGAAATCTGGTTTAGAGGAATAACAAAGATAGCCTTGAAGATAGGGGAAAAGTGACAAAACAAAGGGGAAATAAGCTACCAGACTAGTCACAGTGCCAACCAAAGTTCTTCAGTGTTGGAGAGTAAATGATAAGAAGGTTGACAAGAGGTTTTTTGTTTTTTTTTGTTTTTTTTATTTTTAGGCAATTGGGGTTAAGAGGTTTAAAAGTAATACTTAAAGTATTCATTTTTATCAACTGTTTGCTCAATTCCTTTTTTCTCCCTCCAAACGCCTCCCTAAGGTACTACTTAGTTCAATATACCACTAAAGATACCCAATCCCCAACCCTGACACATAAATTCCCCCCAAAAACATGTGACCTAAGGCTGCCTTCCCTGCAAAAGGCTCTGACCACAACAAAATTAGATTGTTCTAGTTCCTATGTCTAAGAGTTATATAATACCACAGCAATGGATGCTAGATATGTGTATATTAAACTGTTGTAATTCAAAGAATGAAGATCTTTTTGGTCAGTATTGCTAGCTCATAAAGGTGGGAGCTACCACTATGCATTTTACATCAAGAGCTCCTCCTGCTGGGAAGAGACCCTATTTAATTTTTACTGCTTTCCAAGGACTTTGTTAGCATGGAAGTGTTTAGCAAATACTACTGGTCAAGTGACTTGAAGTTGAAACAATCATGACTAGCCCCAGGACATTAAAGGAAAAACACTATAAACACCTTTTCCAGGTTTTTGTTTGGGTAATAGTTTTTTCTTCCTCCTGAAAAAACTTTACAAGTTTAGATTATATACTTTTAAACACTGGTGAATAAAATATTTATGATAAGGTATTCATATATTGCTTACTGGTCCTTCACTCCTTCGAATAATTCTTGCAACTAAAAAATGGAGACTTTTATGTGTAATTCTCAGCAGTGTAAGCTCATTATAATTCCTTTCAAACCAAGGACCAGCATCAGTACAGAACAACTAGAGCAGCACAATATGGTATAAATAATGATCTCTGCATTTGAGGATCTAAGGGTTAAAATCCCTGCTCAGCCCTTTTACTACAAGTATGATCTTAGGCAACCTTAACTTCTCCCAGCCTTAGTTTCCTTAATTTGCCCAGTTAAGAGATTGAAAAAGTGGCTCTATGGTCTCTTTCTGTTCTTGTATTAAGTTATTTAAATTAGAATATTAAACTATATTTTAGAATGTGTTGAGTATTTTTATAAGTTACATATCAGGGAAAGAAATTACTCAACCGATAAAAGGCACCGTAACCAACAAAGAGCAGGACACCTCCTCCTTCCCCACCCCACGCCCCAGACAAATACAGAGAGAAAGGGGAACAGCATCAAGGAACATGACCTTTTGAAGCAGAGAAGAGAGCTGGACTAGGAACAGACCCCAGAACTAACTTCACCATTTGCCTAGCAGAAACAGCATACCCAAGAGGAAGACCAAAAACAGAAAGGGAGCCTAGGCCGGCAGCACTCACAGCTGTCACCTGTGCACATACATTTCTTGCACGTGGCACTTCATTATTACTCCCCTCTAAGTCTGAGCCCTCTCTTTCCAGGAACGCTGTGTATTTGGGAGAGCATGTACCTTGGGTATGTTGGGAGAAGGCAATCTTCTGTAGCTACTATTTTTTTTTACTATGCCATTGTAGTAAATGCTTTTGTAAAGAGCTAATTGTGCCAATTGGCTGACTCTTAATGGCAAGCACAGGAGTAAAAGCCAGTGAGCTACAGTAGTAGGAGTAGCTGCCCATAGGGTATTGTATAACCTGAGGTAGCAGCCACCCTGTGGGGACCCAACCTGTAGGTAAAAGCTAGAAGAGTAGGTCAGAGGGGATGCTACATATGCACATCTTATTTTTTAAAATATGCGTTAATGAGCAGGACCCTGAATTGAATAGAAGGAAGAGATTAGACAGGTTCACATTTGGGAACCGGAGTTCCACCTTCAAAGGATCCCAAGCTCCTTGACATCACAAAAGCCCATCTCTTAGACACCAGTATTCTCCATCTGATCCTAAATGGCTGCCTAACATGGAACATCATGATCTAAGAATCAGTTGCAACAGAAAGGCACGTAATAGATATTATCTAGGAAGCAGCATAATACTACTGATGACTAGCACTTGAGAAATGTATAAATGACATCAAAGATACGTATTATCTAAAAATGAAATAGGTTAGTTCAGCAGTGTGAGGAAAAATAGTAAACCTGAACACTACACTGATATCCACAAAATAATGAAAGAACTAGCAAACTAACTCCACCATAGGAGTGCATCCTCAATGGAAGATTTACAAGAAAATGCAAAAGCAAATGGAATGAGAAGGCATGATTGGCTACAATGTGCACCAGCGGGTACACGGAGCGCTCATATCAATGAGCTTATAGCTCCATCAAAATTTTTAAATTATAATTGAATTCTCATTAATTTAATATGTTATTATATTCAAACATACTTAGCTTTAACAATGAGGAAAAACCTGCAGGAGTTACTTACTGCTCAAACTTAAAGATAACTCCATTACTAAATTTCCATATACCATAATATGTGTTTATATATAATCTAGTTCCAAACTTTAAAAAATTTTTCTCCTCACCAAAACTGTGAGACCAACTTATAGCGTATGGGAACATTTTCTACCACAAATTATTCTGAGAGGAAAAAAATTAAATACTATCAAATGAAACATACATTTCCATATGCCACTAGGATAAACAAACATATTCTTACATAAAAGTAATATACTGCAAACATTAAAAAATCCTTCTTAAGTAGGACTATAACTATTAAAAATTGTCCAAGCACAAGGTGATGAGGACCTGCTCTAGAATAGTGGCTGTGTCAGAGGAGAGAAGGAAGCATATTCCAGGGCTGTTTCAAGATAAAACTGACAGGCCTTGGTAACAGATTGGATATTGGGGGCGGGGGGGGGGGAGAGACAGCATTAAATAATGTTAGATAGAGTCAAACTCAGTGACTTCCAAGGTTTCTTCCAGATCTACATTAATGATTCTATTATAACGCTCTTAAAGCAAGGGTGGGGAATCTGTGGCCTTGAGGCCACATGTGGCCCTCTAGGTCCTCAAGAGTGGCCCTTTCACTGAATCCAAACTTCACAGAACAAATGCCCTTAATAAAAGGATTTGTTCTGTAAAATCTGGACTCAGTCAAAAGGCTGCACTCAAGGACTGGAAGGCCACAAGCGAGGCCACAGGTTCCCCACCCCTGCATTAAAGTGTTCATGCTAGACAATTTTCAAAGGAAGAAAACCAAACTACCAACAGCCATATGAGAAAATGCTCCAAATCACTAGTAATTAGAGAAATGCAAATTAAAACTACTCTGAGGTTTTACCTCACATCCATTAGATTATAAAAGTTGACCAAAAAGGAAAATGACAAATGTTGGAGAGGCTTTGGGAAAACATTCACAGTAATTCACTGTCGGTAGAACTGTGAATTGGTCTTGCCATCCTGGAAAATAATTTAGAACTATGTCAAAAAAGTCACTGAACTGTACACAGCAATAATACAATTAGGCCTATACCCCCCAAAAAAAAAAATCAAAGAAAGAAGAAAAGGACACACATGCATAAAAATAGCTATAGCAGCCTTTTTGATAGTGACAAAGAACTGGAAACCAATTACAGTCAGAGGCATCAATTCAGTGATCAAATTATGGTACACAAATGTAACTGAATTATCAGTCAGTTGGCCAAAAAGTTGTTATCAAGCATTTACTATGTGCTAAGCATTGGTAATTCAAAGAACAGCAAAACACAGTTCCTGTAATCAATCATCTCAGTCTAATTGGGGAGACAAAAAGTAGGCGCTGATGTGCACGATAATACTAATAATTTATTCAGTGTAGGCAAACTGTAACCTCAGAGAGAAAGCACTAATAGTGTAGGAAGAAGGAAGGGAAAGAGCCTCCAGCAGAAGGGGGGGTTTAAGCTGAGTCTTAGGAAACCAGGAACTGGAGATAAGGGGGACAGGTAGGGCATTCCAGGCTTGGGAGACAGCCAATGACAAAGCACCTAGGTGAGAAATTTAGAGTCCTGCTCAAGAAACAGCAAGAAAGTCAGTGTGCCTGGATCCTAAAATATGTGGAGGAGAGTAAAGAGTAAGAAGACTAGAAAAGTAGGAAGAAGCTAGATCACAAAAGGCTTTAAAAGACAAACAGAACATTTTATATTTGATCTGGGAAGTAACAGGTAGCCACTAGAGTTTACTGAAGGGAAGGGGAACATATTGATGCGTCCATTTTAAATAAAAATTAAAATCCATTTAAGGTATGAATAAATTTATATTTTAAAACTGAATATAACAAACATTTTTTGCTATAGGTCCTTGCTGTTAGGGCAAAGGAAACCTCCTTTGTTAAATGATCAATGCCTCAGCAATACATCCTTTCATCCCAACATTAAACCTGAACTAAGAGGATACTGGCTTTAGAGCTGAGCACCTACCACATTTGGCTATACAGATGGAACCCCTTTTTGCCTTTCAGCAGTGTTAGCTGGTATCGTGTGGCCTGCGGGCATGTGCAATACAAAGTGCACAGGCTTTGTGTTCAGAACCAGGCTAAAGTGAAGCTGCTCAATGCTACACAGGCAAGGTCTGCCAGAAACAGCTCAGATTCATTTTGCATTTGATGTTTAATTAATTTTTTGCATGTTCAAATGTTTCACAAGCCCATATGGGGTCACAACTCACAGTTTAAGAAGTGCTGATATAGATGTACAGATGTATATATGTCTATTTGATATAAATATATGTAAATGTAGATATAGATATATATACATACGTACACATACACCCACACAAGATAGATAGATAGACAGATGGATGGATGGATACAGTATACGAGGACGTATACACACATATATATTGTGGAAGTAGCTATAAAACACTCCACCTGAGTCTCCGATTCCTCATGTTTGTTGTGAGGATTCAAACAAGCAATTGATAACCATGATTAAGTGTCTACTACGTGCCAGGAAAGGGTAGCGAGGTGGCACAGTGGATAAAGCATCAGGCCTAGAGTCAGGAAGACTCATCTTCCTGAGTTTAAAGCTGGCCTCAGATACTTAATAGCTGTGTGACCCTGGGAAAGTCATTTAATCCTGTTTGCCTCAGTTCCTTCATCTGTAAAATAAGCTGGAGAAGGAAATGGCAAACCACCCCAGTATCTTTGCCAAGAAAACCCCAAATGGGGTCACAAAGACTTGGATACAACTGAAACAATGGAACAATCAACAGAATGACAGCAAGCTTTAGCTAAAGGTCTTCCTCTACATACAACCATACAGGACTGGGCAATACAGGTCAGCATCTTCTCTGTAACCTATAGTCTAAAGAGTTGCCTAGAGCACTGAAGGGTCAAGTGATTTGTCCAGGGTCATAGACCATTATATGTCAGAGGCAAGACTTGGACCTCAGATTTTTCTGGCTTTGAAACCAGCTCTCCAATCACTATGTCAAGCTGTCTCTTTTGACACATATACCTTTTTATAAAATCTCACTAAAAAGTATGGTGGAAAAAAAGCTCTTTGAGCACAAAGACTATTTTTGCTTTTTTTGTATCCCTAGCACTCAGACCATTGACTTAGACATAGTAAGTGCTTAATAAATGCATCCTACTGTTGGTGTGAACTGAACCAACCATTCTGGAGAGCAATTTTGACTATGCCCAAAGGGCTATAAAAATATGCATATCCTTTGACCCAGCAATACCACTTCTAGGGCTGTACCTCACAGACATCATAAAATTGGGAAAAGATCCACAAGTATAAAAATATTTATAGCAGCTTCTGTTGTGGTGGCCAAGAACTGGAAATTGAGTGAATGCCCAACAACTGGGGAATGCTGAGCAAGTTGTGGTATATGAATGTAAATGGAATACCATTGTGTGCTATAAGAAATGACAAGCAGGAAGACTTCAGAAAAACCTGGAAAGATTTATATGAACTGATGCTGCATGAAGTGAACAGAACCAGGAGAACATTGTACACAGTAACACCCACACAGTGTGATGACTAACTTTGACAGACTTAGCTTTTCTCAGCAATACAAGGATCTAAGACAACTCCAAAAGACTCATGATGGAAAATGCTATCCACACCCTGAAAAAGAACTATGGAGTCTGAATGCAGACTGAAGCATACCATTTGCTCTCTCTCTCTTTTTTTTTTTTGGTTTTGTTTCTTTTTTCTCATGGTTCCTCCCATTCATTCTAATTCTTCTTTACAACATGACTAATGTGAAAATATATTTAATAAGAATGCATATACAGAGCCTACATTAGACTGCATGTTGTCTTGGGGAGGAAGGCGGGAGGCAGAGAAAATTTAAAACTCAAAAGCTTATGGAAGTGAATGTTAAAAACTACAAATTAATTAATTTTAAAAAATAAAATAAATATATGTTGATTATGAGCAGTATCAATTCATAATAACAATAGTGAAAGGAAAAAACAATTTAAAGAAAACTTGCTAAGAAATTCAAGTAAGCAAAGTCATCCTGAGTCTATTTAAGGATCAATCTAAAAGAAGAACAAATAAGTGAAACATAGAAAGATCTACAAAGATTTTATAATATTCTTTTAATTGTTGCATACACTGGAACCACCACATTAAGACTATTAACATTACAGCTCTAGAAAAATCTCTGGAAGAGATTTAAATGGCACTGAAAAGAAAAATGGGAAAAGCATCTGGACTATATCAATTATACACAGAGGAGGATCATGCTAGATGGAACACAATTTTTAGGGAATTAAGGGATCAATTCTGAAGAAGTTACTAAAGATGTAGAAAAAAGTCTCAGACCTTATTGCAAAATGACAATAATAATGACAAGTGACCTGAAGAACAATAATAATTACCAACCCACATACCTAGCTTCTCATCTAAATAATTTTTTTATAAAAAGTATCTACACATCGCATTGAGGGTATCCTTGAGGAGAGTATTAGAAGGGAACAGGTAGTTTTCACCAGTGATATTCCACAACAGATCACATATTTATAATCACACAACTGGCTAAAAGAAGTAGATAATAAGATCCCACTGTGATTATTGTTTGATTGATATAAAAAAGCACCTGATTCACCAGAGCAAAACACCACGTTAAAGGCTTTTCCTCCCCCTTTAAAAAGTTATCTTCCAACCTATCACATCTATCAGATCACACCTATCAGATCAGCCAACATGACAAAACAGGAAAATGATAAATGTTGAAGAAGATGTGAGAAAATTAGAACACTAATGCATTGCTGCTGGAGTTGTGAACTGATCTAACCATTTTGGAGAGTAATTTGGAACTATATAGCCCAAAGGGCTATAAAAACGTGCATACCCTTTGACCCAGCAATAGCACTTGTAGGGCTGTATCCCAAAGAGATCATTCAAATGGGAAAAGGACCCATATGTACAAAAATATTTATAGCAGCTTTTTTTGTGGTGGCCAAGAATTGGAAATTGAGGGAATGACCATCAATTGGGGAATGGCTGAACAAGTTGTGGTATAGGAATGTAATGGAATACTTTGTGCTATAAGAAATGATGAGCAAGCAGACATCAGAAAAATCTGGAAAGACTTGTATGGACTGATGCTGAGTGAAGTGAGCGGAACCAAGAGAACGTTGTACACAGTAACAGTCACACTGTGCTATGACTAACGTTGATAGACTTAGCCCTTCTCAGCAATGCAAAAATCTAAGACATCTCCAAAGGTCTCATGATGCAAGATGCTATCCACATCCAAAGACGGAACTACGGAGTTTGAATGCAGATTAAAGCATTCTATTTGCTATTTTTTTCTTGTTTTGTTTCCTCTTTCTGGTGGTCCCTCCTATTGATTCTAATTCTTCCTTACAACATAACTAATATGAAAGTATGTTTAATAGGAATGTATATGTATAGCCTATATCAGATCATGGGCCATCTTGGGGAAGGAGGGAGGGGCAGAAAAATGTAAAACTCAAAAGCTTATGGAAGCAATTGTTGATAAATCAAAATAAATTAATAAAAAAAGTAAAAAAAGTTATCTTCTACACAAGTGACAAGATTTCTTGAAAGATATGACAACATATTTAGAATAAATGGAAAAAACACTCAAAATATGTTGCCTCACTAATAGCAAATATTAAAAAATATCTTCAAGCTTCAAGCTTTTGATATATTTTAATGTCCTACAAAATCTTCACTCATTTTTTAATCACAATGAAAATACATCTGACATGTAAACATCAGTAGCCTAAAAAAGGTGGTATTCTAAATATCATTTTGAAATTACATAAAAATTTTCACGAAGAAAAAATACCAGGCCTACACTCATGACTCTGTTAGACTATCTCTGGCATCTTTGTTTTATTTACAAAGGAAAATTTTTGAGCCACTTGAAATTTGGCAGTTGAATTATAGTCATTTCATGGATATTCTGACACATTACTTCATATACCTATATTATACCTTGAAGAAAACTGATTAAAATCTTATAACTGCCATTGTAATTTTCTTTGATTCTCACTGATGAAGAAACCATGAACATTCTAGAATGATAATTGTAGAACTATGTTAATGTTTATAATAAATAATTGGCTCAAACCATGGTATAATCTAAGTCCTAATGAATCCTTAGATATAGCTGTGGTTTTTCTTGTTTGATCCAGCTGGATTTTTCTATAGCAATAAGTAGCCTAAAAAAGAATCTGGATATATGAACACATAAACACATGTATAACTGTGTTTCAATTTGCTCATGATAGGCCAGGAAATTCATCCAATTTTCATGCTTTCTAATAAAAAAAAATTTAGAAAATTTTTCATTATTCTATTTATGTATACCAGATCTGCCTTTCAGACTAAACTTCTGAAATCTGTTCAATTTTAAAATGGTTCTTCTTAATGAACTTATTTCCAAGGCAATTTTGAAAGAAAGCTTGGTAAACCATTAAAGCTATACATCACCCAGTAATATCCCCTACAGTTTTTTGATGCTTACCTATAAAGAATGTCACATATTGTTATGAAAACATAAACTTCAAAGAATTTTGTTCTTTCTTATTACTGTTAGTAATACCTGTTAAGAAGATTCTCTACTTCCTGAACTTCTGAAATTGACTCTTCCTCATCTGAAATGAGTCGACTTTGAAATTTTCTGTCTTGGAAGTCATACAACATCACGACAACAAGACTGGTCAGAGCATCTGGCTACCAAATGAAATACACGCAAAGAAAATAAAGTACACCATGACATACAAAAACAACATTTTTTACTCTTAGGTAATTAATCATGGGGTTATTCCGAATAAAGAAGCAGAATGTTATTTTAATATTGTTTTTATTCCCCAAGAAGAAATAATCTACTGTAAAAAACATAACAAATGATTGTAACTATTTGTGCTAAATGAGCATGGAGTCAATCATAGAAGAGAAAAAAAAATTCTTAGCAAATATTTCCCACTATCTCACCCACCTTTTTTTTATTTTTAACAACTTCTCTAGCATTAAGCAATCATGAATCATTTAATAAAATTAGAGGACTCTAAAAAACCTCAGAAAGTACATAAGATATTCCAAATTACATAAAAATTGTCTACTTACTATTGACACATTTGGATAGAAACAGCTGTCTATTAATATGCTTTCCAAAATATCTTGATCTAAAGAACAAAGAAATATTAGTCTTTAATGCGAATATCACTGAAACTAAAAAAAATGCTATGATGATAATATAATATAAAATGATAATAATGATAATAATATATTTCAAGTAATCTCACTAAAAGCATTTATTACTGACATTTTCTTTCAAAATTTACTCCATTTCTCCATAAAGATTTAGGAGTATGGTGATAAAATTAAAACTTTATTACACTTTGAACGAAGTAAATAATTTAAACTAAAATATACTTGATGAGCCAACATATCCATGAGTAATTCAGAAACTCTCTGACCCTCGGTTTTCTCCATCTTTAAAATGTATATAATATGTGCACTACCCATCTCATAGGGTTTTTGTAATAAACTTTTGCAAATCTTAAAATCACTTTTAAGTGTGTAATTATTTAGCAACCTATGAAAAACTCCAATTATTTTGGTAGAAAGTAAAAAGCTAAATTGCTAAAATATATTATGAACTCAATTATATTTAAAAAGAAATTTATATAAAATCAAATGTATCAGACCCATCTATTCAACTTCTACTCTGATGTAGTCATCTCTTCATGAAAAGGGGGAAGCTTCAGAAAAGAGTCGACTTCTGATTCTGACTGAGTCTTTATATATTCATTTATGGCCAATGTCCCTTGGGTCTACTTTCTGGGACCCCATTTTCCCCATGGGTAGATAAGGGTAAGGGGAGATACTTTTTACTTCCAAACAGCTAAATCGTGCTTCCCTGACCATATCTCAAGGAAACAAGACAAAATAAATAACACCCTTGAGCATTTTCTCCAACCAAGAGACAGTACAACCTAGCAAAGAAACAGAAGAACTCAGGCCCACCAGGACTAGGCTTTCATGAAGAACCCTTCCAGATCTCTTGATACACCGTATTTGGCCTTCCTAAACAATGTCTCCCAATTTTCACAACTGGCTTACAGATGTAGAATACCTTAAAGAGCCCATCCCTCCAGAATGTTACAGGTAACACCTCCTGAAGCATAGTGCTGCTCACTCCTTTGTATCTCCTCAGGTGTCCTCTACTCCTACTTTCCCCTCCCTTTTGCTGACATTGGCAAATTGCTAAATTATCTAGAATATTATGGACAGGAGCTGGAAGCTGAAGTTCTTGGATTTTCTTTCCCCTTCTACCCCACCCTCCATGACCTCTTTACACAGCCACAGTACCATTTACCCAACAAACCCCAGTCAACAGCTACAATGCTGAACCAAGAGTATCCAAGCCAGAGATAGTGAGTACGACTAGGAGTCCATAAACTAGGTGACTTCACAGACTATCTGGATTTTCACATTTGGGATCAAGCCTTATAACCTGAATGTGTAAATTCCACTATACATAGGCATCCTAGAAGTACCTGATTTCAATTAAATTTGATTATGAATATCTTTTAACCCTTGTGACTTTGTTAAGAATCTCAGGAAACAAATAATTAGAAGAAATATAACAATAGGATTTTTAGAAGAGCAACTACTTGGTTAACGCCATTTATTTTCTTGAAGTTTTTATAGGAGGTATTCTAGTGTGATGCAAAGTGCAATGGATTTGATGACCTAGGTTCTAGACAGCACAAGTTCCAGTCCTGGCTCTACCATTTACTAGCTGTGACACAGGTCCCACAATCTCTGCCTCATTTTCCTCATCTGAAAAGTGGAGATAATAATTCTTGGCCTAGAAAACTCAAGAGGTTTCGTGAGAATCAAAATGATGTAATATATGTAAAAGTGCTTTGTAAGTTATAATGTGATGTTAGATAAATTGCATAGATTTCTAACTGGATAGGAATTCAGATCATCTAGTACAATTCCTTCATTTTACAGATGAAGAAACTCTGGCCCAAAATGGTCATAGATATTGAGGTAGAAGGAACCTTAGAGGGCATCTAATCCAACTTCCTTGTTTTAAAAAAAGGGAAACTGAGCCTCAGAAATGTTTCCTTGACTCCAAATCAAGTGTTCTATTATATCATATAATCTGTACAGACAAAGTAAATAACTTGACCAAAGTCACAAAAAGGTAGCAAGCAGCAGAACCCATGCTTGAACCTAGACCTCAAATTGTCTCCTAATTCTAAAAAGAAGTCTAAGAATTTCTCTCAAATTGTTTTTATGTTCCTTACCTCTCCACTTCCAGTTATTTCCATCTCTCCACTTATCTCTAGCAAGTCTGAGAGGTTTTACCTTTAGTTTAAGCTTAGCTTTGAAATATACTCTTTATCACAGCTCTCTGCCTTCTTAACCTTGGACATGTCTTACCCTGTCTGGCTCTCAGCATTCAGGTTCTAAAGAACCTCTAAACATTCTTTCCAGCTCTACAGCCATCATTTTCTTCTGGACTAACATTACAGATTTTTCTTCTTAGTAAGCTGAAGATAAGGACTTTCATTCAAGGGGGAGGGAATCAATAAATCAATCAAAACACAGGTGTGTCAGGCACTATGATAAATGCTGATGAGGAAGAAAAAGCAAAGTCTTTGTCATCCAGGGGCTTACATTATAACGGGGAAAACAGCACATACAAATCAGAACAAAGTAAATAAAACAAAGATAGGAGGTAACCTAAGAGCATGGGATCTGCAGGGGACTTAGGCTTCCTGGAGGAGGTCTGAGTGATAAAGGAAGCCAAAGGCTCTACAAATAACAGGCTGGGAAAACATTCCAGACCTGGGGAACTAGTGCAAAGGCACAAAGATAGGGGATGCAGTGCTGAGTACAAGGAAGAACAAACAGACCAAAACGGCTGGATTGTAGAGAGCATGGAGGGCAAGAGAATGTAAAAAGACCAGAAAGGTAGGAGGGCCTAGACTATGAAGATCTTTAAATGCCAAGAAAAAAAAATCACTTTAATATTTGATCCTGAAAGTAAGAGTGAGCCTCTGGAGCCTATTAAGTAAGGGAACAACATGGTCAGACCTACATTTTAGAAAAATGATTCAGTAGCTTAACCTTCCTGCATATAGGGGTATTTATACATTGAACTTTTCTCAGATTTCTTTTGCTCTTTGCTCTTCTCAAAACCACTGTTCCCCTTGCCAAAAGGCTGCAGGCATTCTCTAGGTAACTACTTTTAACCAAATACATAAGAAACTACATAGATCCACACCAACTACACACTGTACAAAATGTGAGCCAGGTGGGGATGGGATTAGGGAAACAACAGCGAATGGCTGACAAGATACACAGCCTCCTTTAGAGATAGATACCTCTACTTTGTGGGGATGCATGATGAAGCCTGTCTTTGATCCAAGGCCTAACATTAGTCTCCATATAAAGCAAAGGAGAAGAGAAAGAGAAGTAGAAAGATCCAATAGCAGAACAAGGTCCTAATTCTCCACCAAGGGAACATGCTGTTTCTTTGAGTACGGTCCCAGGCTCATCTTGTAATTTTCAACAGATGTCCACTTCCTAGAATAGTTCCTTCCTGGACTTAAGGTCAGAAAAGGTCAGAGTTCAAATCTTCCTCAAGACATTTACTAGCTGTGTGACCCTAGTCTCTTCATCTGTAAGATGGGGATAATAATAACACTCACCTCACAGGACTGTTGTGAGGATCAAATAAGATAACGTATATAAAGTGCTTTGCAAACCTAAAAGCTCTGTATTACACATTGCTGGATCAAAATGCTCCTTATCACCCTTCCCTCTCCTACTCCCTACCTCCCAAATGAGCCCTACAGAATTCAGTGAATCATTTACAAAGGTGAACAAGTAAGGAGCATCTAGTTACTAAATAATGCTGATGTGTGTGTGTGTGTGTGTGTGTGTGTGTGTTTAAGTCTCAATCAGTTTAATTAGATCAACACTTAATTAAGAGAGAATCAGCAAATTTAAGTCCAGATGGGGGAAGCAATATCAGGAGAATATGTCAAGAAAATAAGAAAAAGGCTACCAGAAAGGAAAAAAGATTAGATGGGAATGGTGGTACTGTACTTAAATTATTCATCATGTGAATCTTGACAAGGACCTGGAGGCAGTGACAAAAAATTTTGTTATGATACTTTATGCATTTTGTAGTTGTTGTTCAGTCATGTCTGACTCTTTGTGACCCTATGGACAGTACCACACCAGGTCCTTCCATCTCCACTATCACCCAAAGTCTGTCCAAGTTCATGTTCGTTGTTTCCATAACACTATCTATCAATCCCCTTTTCCTTTTGCTTTCAATTGTTCCCATCATCAGAGTCTTCTCCAATGAGTCATGTCTTCTCATTATGCGGCCAAAGTATTTAAGCTTCAGCTTCAGTGTTTGACCTTCCAGTGAATAGCCTGAATTAATTTCTTCAAGTATCGACTGACTTGATCTCTTTGCTGTCCAAGGAACTCTCAAAAGTCATCTCTAGCACCACAATTCCAAATCATCAATTCTGCAGCTCCTCAGCTTTCCTTATAGTCCAACTCTCACAGCCATACATTGCTACTGGAAAAACCATAGCTTTGATGATATGGACCTTTGTCAGCAAAGTTAAGTCTCTGCTTTTTAGAATGCTATCTAGATTTGCCATAGTTTTCCTTCCAAAGTGCAACTATCTTTTAATTTCATGGCTGCAGTTGCCATCTGCAGTGATCTTTGAGCCCAAGAATATAAAATCTGACACCGCTTCTATTTCTTCTCTCTCTATTTGTCAGGAAGTGATGGGACCACTTGCCAAGCTCTGTCTTTTTTTTTTAATGTTAAGATTCAAGCCAGCTTTTACACTCTCCTCTTTCACTCTCATCAAGAGACTTAATTCCTCTTTACTTTTTGGCATCAGAGTGGATATCTGCATATCTGAGACTGTTGGTATTTCTCCCGCCAACCTTAATTCCAGTTTTTGATTCATCCTGGGATTTCATATAAGCTAGATAAATAAGGTGACAACATGCAGTCTTGTCATACTCCTTTCCCAATCTTAAACCAATCAGTCATTCCACATTCAGTTCTGACTATTGCTTCTTGGCCTGCATACAGGTTCCTTAGGAGACAAGGGAGATGACCTGGTAC